AAAAAAAAAAAAAGTGAACAAATTGGGAATCAAGGCCCACTAGTGAGTTATGTGGTTTTAGGGATCTCGGATTTCTGATCTGTAAGATAAAGGGGCTGAGTTTCAGAATTGCTCAATCCTGTTCTAGATTTGTCACCCTATAATTTAAAGCATTCTAACTGGGCTTATAGAGTGGTGTTTCCCAAACAGTGGTCATGAACTAATGGTGACTCTGGGGAGATGAATTCAGGTGGAACATTTGCTAATAGTGAGCTACAGAGCGAGAGAGCAAAATGTAACATTTTATTCCAATCCTCTTGATTAGATCGAGGATACAGTCTCAGTTTAGTGCTAATACATTTCAACAACTCTCTCAACAATTGGTAATTTCCCTTTTTTAACAAAGAGAGTGCAGGCAATATTATCTAGCTAGATTTTTAAAGATCTTTTTCTTAAACATTATTTCATTGTCATTGAATTTATTTTATAGGTTACCTTCTATGTATAGCAAGTATTACTAATTTCAACTTGGTGATATAATGTTTTTTTTAAAAATAAGTTTAGGTAAGCACAAAGTGATGAGTTAACTTAAAGAAACAGGTGGTACAGAGATAGGGTAAGGAGTATCAGGGGTGTAGAAGGATGACTGAAGTTTGGGAACTGCTACCACAAAAGAGGAAATTGAGGAAAAGGACAATTGGCCTTCTTACACCCCAAATGGGAGAGGCCTTGGAAGAAACAGGGAAAAATATTCACGGCTCAAAAAACAATTATACGTCAACAGACAAGCTCTTTCACAAAACTTATATTGGCTGGATGAGATAGCAAAGGAGACACATTTAACTAGCTCATCAGAGACTGTGCATGTGTGATTTTAATTGAGGAGACTCTAGCAGGTAACACAACAGAGTCCCAGGGTGCCATGCTGATATCTGGGGGCCAGGTTTAGAGGCACCTACAAGACATCAAGTGCTGCTCCCCACCCCTCAACATCCCCCCAGATANGTTTAGAGGCACCTACAAGACATCAAGTGCTGCTCCCCACCCCTCAACATCCCCCCAGATATCCCCTCACAATCTCAAGGACCCAGGAGCTGGGCCCTTCCCTGCAGCCTGGGAAGCTCCACCCCACTCCCTGCTGTGTCAGGAACCCAGATTCACAGGCCTTCCTGGTATTTGTCAGAGCATAGTAATTCAGAGGGACGTGGGACCTCAGCTGTTGCAGTGTGTGCCTGGAGACACTGGCTGTGCTTTTGCCTGGCTGGGTTACTGTGGGCAAATTGCCTCTCTGTAGAATTGGTTTTCTCACAGTCAAGGTGATGATAAAATTCCTCGCCCATTTGCCTCATGGGGTTAAAGGAATCCAATCAGACAGTGGCTGTGAAGATGTTTTGTAAACTGTTGATTACTGTGACAATATTAACTGTTATTACTAATAAGTGACCTTAGGCTGGGAAAGCCATGCATAAGCTCCCTGGAGAGGCCACCATCTTGGTCAGCAATGGTAAGGTTATAGCCTCCCCCCAGAAACTTAAAAATGCACATGAATACAGGGCTTTGTACTTTTCAAAGTGCTTTCACATCCAGTATCTCAATCCCCTCAAAGACCCCATGAGACAGGTATTACCGTTAAGGAAATCCAGCGGTATAGACACACATTTGGGAGTGTGCACTAAGGAATGCTGATGCTGTGCTAAAGCACAGCTGCCCCAACCTGTGGCAAAAAGAAGCCACGTAGAATGCTGGACTGGTCCCACTACCAGCTAGCTTACCTTTAACTTCTTCTCTGCCCGGGCTGCCTGTTTGCAGATGGGGTGCCAAACCTCAGAACCTAAGGGGCCAGGAAAATAACAATGGCTCAGACCTTTCAAATCCACCAGCATTTGGAGTCTCTCCCCACC